TTCACCTTGTAATTTTAATAACACATTAAAAGAATTCAGTATGTCCCTTTTTCTAATGTCTGAGCTATCACCACATAAAATGATTAAGTTGGTTAAACTATCTACCTTTTGCGTTGCAGCATTATTTACAATTTCTTTAAATGATTGCCCAGGAAAGCATAATAGTTTTTGATGAAAAGTTCTGTGAAAGCACTGGTTCAAACAATTTTTCCCTATAAGTAGTTTGTATTTTTGCATAGGCTGATGAATGACAGGAATTCTCTGTGATAACAATTTCTTTGTCTTTTCCAAACTCTTCATTTGAGATTTCCTCTGGGTAATTAACTATATTTAACATTTGGTTATTTATTAATGAGTCATAGCGCTCAGCATTATAATTACACAACTCCACCAACTCTGAAGCAGATTTGATGTGCTCATCAATCTGCCTCTGAGCATTGAAGTATTTATTTTCTAATAATCCCATTGATTCATGCAATTCAATGATTTTAGATTGCAATTCTTTAGTATCCCGGTCATACAACTGCCTGCTTGCAATTAACTTATTGTTATAAATTTCTATGGAATCCAAAAGATTCATGCGTTTCTTCCTTAAGGCAATATTTTTATAGAAGCTATTATTTTTTTTAATTAATCTATCAGTTTTCCGTATAAATTTATTAATTTTTATGTATTTCTTTAATTTCCTACTGCCTACATTTAGAGGTCTAGGTATGCTACTATTGCTAGTGGATAGTACATACATTAATATACAGAGGCGTCTCTAGCCCATGTAGCGCCCGTGTGCAAAATTACCCTAGCGCTCCCTAGTAAGCGTGTGGTCACAATGGAATGGGTACAAAGTACAAGTACTTAATAGCACATCAAATTACAGCAAACTGTCAAATTTCAAAAATGATGTATAAATTCTATTGTTTGGAAATTAAATTTGAAGAAGAAAGTCGCATGGCCATCGTGTTCGCCAAGTGGGGCTTCGTAACGAGCGGCGTGGGCGCTCGGCGGCGCCCTCTAGGACTGTATGCCCGTGTGCAACGCACACCCTGCACCATAAGTAAATACGCCCCTGTTAATATACCTACTAATATTCATTTTATTCTCTATTTACTAAATTTACGTTGTCAGCTTACCAAGAATTTGTTGATTGAAGTAAGTACCTATTGTACCAGTTTACAAAGTGTGACCAGTCACTAGATCAAGGTCACGCTTGTTTTAGTCGCCTGGGTAGATGAAGCAGCAAGCAGACCGAAACGTTACAGGGCTGTGCGACTAACAAATTCATCTTGCGCGTCCGCTGTAATAGAACCCTCACAAGTCTTGTGTTACTATGATATTTGATATGGGAATTTAAGGGTTTCTCACGGTCGTTCGATCAAATGAAATATTAATTTCTATCGCTCGACAAACAGGCTTCTACGGTGTGACGTGTGGTTAGGGTTTGGGAATTTCAAAAGTCCTGACAAAAAACATTTCGAAAGAAGTCCGGTCTTTTTAGTCACAAAATGGTACCATTACTCACTTAGTTACAACAGTATGGTATTTAAATCAATATGTAGGTACTTTTATTATTCATTTGAATATGTATTCATATGAATATGAATATACATTGAAATGTAATTTAAAAATCCGGACAAAGTCCGGACTATAGTCTAAAAGTCCGGACATGTCCGGACTAATCTTGATGGATGGTAATCCTACGTGTGGTCAACTGCAGTTACCAGAAATTAAATGAAATTATACTTTATGTAAATTTACTTATCGAAAGCTCTTTTGAATTATCCAATATTTTTCTTACCACCCATTCAGGAGATCTTTTAGCTGATGAGAAGAATGGGCGCGAGAAACTCAACCGCAATTAACAAAAGTAGCAACATTTACAAAAAAATCATGTCACGAAAAAAAACCCGTCCGTATTTTTTGTCTAACTAATGCAGATAGAGAAACCAAAACAAAAAAGTTCATAGGAGACAGTAAATAATGTTTACCTGTCTTTTTACAAAACAACACTTATTGCCACCATTGTATAATAGATACTTTTCTACGTCATGACATGATACCGGAGGCGTCGCCGAGGTGGTAACTTATAATTTATATACGCCTACATATTCCATTGATAATCATGACAATGTTGTCCATAAAAGGATGTATAGGAAACAAGCTAAATAAAACTTCAGAGTCATTAAAATCACAGTGTATAAACTTAGGATAACAATATACTATAGATATGATGTGGATTAATTTTTTCCTTTATTCCCTGTCCTCGGCGATTGCCATCGGAGACAAATCAGCATAAAAATATTTAAGGGGGTTCAATGACGTCATTCCTATTTTCCTCCGGTGGAAATCCCCGCGGGGGCGACTGGGAATAAAGGCCATATACGATATTGCCTACTAGTACCTTTATTATTATTGGTATGCAAAGCCTCAGAATGCCGTGCCAATGGCCCGTCTTCAGTTCCATTGGGAGTATTATTGGACTCGTATAGAGAATACTTCCTGGTTTATTTAAGGTCATTGTCTGACATTACCTGATTGAATAAGTACCTAGCAAATGTCCATACTTTCTCATTGAGTAGGTAGGTAGTTGATATTTTTATGGAGTTTTGCAAAATTACTTCACCATACCCGCCCCGCAGTCATCTGTAGTTGCGAAGGGAGAAGCCTTGCTTTTATAGAGGCTTTATCACAACAGGATACAATGAGTGCATGTGCGTGTGTGTGTTGCGTTTTACTAATTACTGGGTAACATACCACGATGTAAATAAAGAGTTTGAAGTTTGCTATTTTTTTTGCATCATAAAGAGATACTCTTAGGAAAATGCTCTTACCTTACTTATTTACAAGAACGTAATTCTTTGATAATGGGCAGGTTGAGTTCATTGCATATCGTCTTAATAAAATGCGATAAGATAACACTTTTAATGAGGCATCTTCGTTAAAACAGTACCTACGTAACGTATTCATACCTACCTATGTCTATGTATCGAATTACGTGTTTTCGTGGTTTATCGAACAATGATTTATAATCAAAGATTCTAAATGATTACATACCCATGTACTCTAATGATAGCACCTCTTTTTACTTTATTTTCGTAACTTAAGAGTAATTGAACATGTCTACTCATAATTCCTGACCAGCCAGCGGCCCAAGCACGAGTTATGACAGCTCCGTAAAGTAACGTAATCGTCAAATTTTGTATGGAAAAAGCTAGTTCGTTCTTACGTCTGCTGCTTAATTTTCATAGAAACTGGCGATTACGTTACTTTATTACGGAGCTGTCATAACTCGTTCTTGGGGCTCTGGTAACGGTGGTGGTGGGTGTGACGCAGTTTTTATTAATGTTGAAAATCATCTTTTTGTTATATATCCCAGGAAATATGGCTTTACAAATGGAACTGAGTAATCCATCTAAGTTAAATTCATTAATATTAGCTTCGAGGTGAAGTATATATTATGATTGATTACCGAGGTGTTTACTTTAGTACCTGGCCTAGCAACTATGGCATTTAGAACAACGCCTGATAAAAAGTTCTGACGAAGCGATGGCAGATTCATGCGTCATGCTCGTGAACGGGTGCTGCCAGCGTGTCTGCTCTATTCTGTGTTACTCTTGAGATGTTATCTATTATACCTAATATGAACACTGTTTGTATACTGTATGACAACAATCAAAATGTGAGTGGACATTGTATTTTGGTGGTGGCATGATTTTTTGTAAATGTTGCTACTTTTGTTAAATGCTGACGAGTTTCTCACGCCCATTATTCTCATGAGCTAAAAGATCTCCTGAATGGGCGTTAGGAAAAAACATTAGGACGATTTAAAAGAGCTTTCTATAAGTCAATTTGAATTTGAAAAAAACTTAATGGTAATCAGTCTGGATTTAGGGGACTGGGTCAATGAAGGATTAGCTCTAAATATGGGTCGGGCCACTTACGATTTGCCCCCTCCCTCCTGGTTGATCTGTCAAAATTTGGTTTTGTTATATCTCTGTTGTCGGAGACCCTGGGCGGTAGCCCTGTTTTAAATCCTGCCCTGATGAATGTTTATAACTAGCAGCTGGCTATGTCCTTTTAGAATGGTACATAAATTTAAAAACCTACATCTGGAATACATATATTTTATTATTTCTTATGTAATACAAAACAACTAAGGCAATAATTGTTAAATGGTAGAGGTATGATTACACTATTGGCAACAATATTTTTTAAGTATATTATAGCAAAATTGAGGTATGTACTAAAAATATGGTTGGTCCCATTTGTTGAATTATGAAATTACTGTAAACCTGTTATTTTATATTTATAATGCATATTTTATGTAACAAATAATTATATCATGAACCTTCCCCTTACAATAAAATTAAAACAATTATGAAACTTTACATAGCCGCTTGAAATAATAAATCTTAAACTAAAATCATGTGCTATATATTTTTATACAACTGTGCATAAAAAAATAGTTAAGCAGGAAAATTTTGCAGCATCAATACAGTATTAAGATACATTTTACACTTTGTTAACGAAGTAACAGCAAAGTTTTATATTCAGTTTTTTCCTATAATTTTCTTGAAATTAATGGCTGACATATAAGCTCTCTGAGTTTTATTCATTATTAATACTACTTATCACACTTCAAATCTGTACAATCACTGACCACTTTCTTCAATGTATACATATATTGATCAAAATAACAAAGGACACTTTTAAATTACATTTGTGAACAATACAACATGTTACTATATAATCCCTTTAATTTTTAACAATGTATAATATTTATTAGTAACCATAGATTGTAAACTCTTAATGTTATAAAGTTTTGTAGATTTTTCAAAATAGTAATGAGTTTTTCATGTAGAAATATGTGCGTTTTTAATCTCAATTACAAAAATAACATCTAAAAGTGTTTCAGTCGTATTTTGGTCTGAAATATAGGATATCAGAATGTCAAACACTCTGTATTATCTTAAGTGATGATCAAGTCAATGCTAAGATTAGCTACATTATCGGCCCGATTTGTTGGTAGGAGCTTCAGTTACTGGTGGAGGAGAAGTAGAGCTTCCTGATGGAATTGCATAAACGATAATAATGATAAGCAAAATTACGCCAATCGCACCGATAATCAACATCATTTTCAAATTCTGCCACCAATACTTCCTCTTCAGTTTTCCAGCTTGCTGCTCAAACTGAGCAGCTCCGTGCTGCAAAGCATCAGCTCTATTGTCTAGCTCTGATAACTTTTGATCTCTCTCTAAAACTTTCTCGACGTTGACACGCATAATGCCGACGACTTCATCAACTTTGGCCTGAGTTTGTGCTAAACGCTTGTCGCTTACCCTTGGGGCAGAACTTCCTCCTTGTTCTTCCATCTTTGGAAATCCTTTCGTTTCTAAAGCAAATAAATAGGCAAACAAAGAAAAAATTCAACACGTAAATAATGGCGATTCTTGAATGAATGACACATAGAATGACGTCATCGGTGCTGCCATGGGCCTTTTTTTCTTTTTTTCTTTTTTTGGTTAATTTGTCCCTGTTGGGACGGGCCAAAAGGATTCTGAGTCCATACAGCCCTGCCTTTTTTTCTGTTTGTCCTTTCAGACAGGCTAAGGTCTGGGACCATACTGCCTCGTCGTTAGTTATTTTTCTCCTTTTTATTATTAATATTCAATATAACTTCTTCAGTTTGATAAAGTCCGGTTTTTTTATTCTTTCGATTTTCTACAGTATTTTTTTACTCTATTATCGCTTTTTTCCCAGCACATTGAATCTCTTTGGTAGTTTTCCAATTACAGAGCATAATGTGACTCAGTGGCGCACAATGCCGAATTATGCTGATGCTTAATTGGAACGTGAATTAGTTTTCAAATGCACCAGCAGAGTGCGCTAAGTTTAGTGTTGAAAAAAAAAGTCAATGTTGTACCTTCATCCCCACTTATATTTATTTTTTTGACACAGATTGAATTAACTTTGATTATTAAAAAAAACTATAGTGTAATGAAAGCTTTAAAAAATTTTCAACAATAAATAATATTACTAATGTTACTATATAAATAAAACATTTCGATCAATGCCAACCTTAAGAAAAAACATTTGTTAAGTTTGTGTCACTGAGTTGGTGCAATTGCACGCATCACACGAAAACATTACTTTTGATAGTGCTCGATTGTGCGAAGCGTTGCTGTAGTTGAAACAATCAACGTTAAACATTATGCCGCATAATGCGCTCTAGTGCTGTAATTGGAAAACTACCTTAATCACCAAACAAGATTAACACCCATATTCTTAGTCGTTTCCTCGAGATTTTTTCCACTCGACTCGACCTCATTCGAGGAAATTCGTATGCTTAGACAACAAAAATATCTTTCACTTGAGATATTCCTTACTTGAGTGGAGGTCGAGTCGAGGAATAAACTGTCAAACTCAAGGTAGATCTCGACGTACCTTAAGGCTTCCTCGAGTGGTGTTTAAGGTGTTTTCAAGTTGTTTTTATCGAGAATTATGTCTGATTTTGAGATTATTGACGAATTGGTGAATTTTATGGATTACGTATACGATGATGAACCATAAAATCCGGCGCGACGGTATTTACGTGACGCCGCAAATCCTTTTGAGGTTTACGACAATGATTCGTTTCAAAGAAGATTTCGGCTTAGAGAGATACACTCATACAAATAATATTTCCTCTGCTAAGCATTACACTAAATTGTAATAACAGAGGACTACCTGTACGTACCGCCTTTAAAATAGGTATTTACCTATGTTTGTTGTGTGATATTTTACTTTACACATATAATATGTCTATGCTTTTATGCTCTATACCTTTGTTTGTACTCTCAGTGGAGGAATTTTCAAGTTTGTTCAAGATACCAACTAGAATATCATTTTCGAGGTTATTTGGAGGAACTCCTTAAGGAGCCCTCGAATGAGTTAGAGTCGAGGAACGTTTGAGGACGCGGCTAAGAATATGGGTGTATAAGTTACGTTCCGTACTTTCACTCCGCATGCGACTTAAGGTGCATTCAGACTATGCTATACTTTAGTTCCCTCCAATTCCGTGGGCCTAGGCATGACTTGGAGTACCCCGACGACGAAATCAACCGCGCTAACGCGCCTCCAACTCCACCCACACAAGCCACAAACACCAACACTACGTAGCTAGCATACTTGCACCCTAGCTTAGCATTAGGCAGACACCGCACCCATACGATAAGAGTGCGAAGACCCGGTCTACACACGACACGCTATACCAGGTTCCGTTACCCCGGCCCCCCACGACAACGGCTAACTAGAGCCGAGGTTCGAGTCTCAGAGACGCCCTCTAGTTGAGCCGACCCCCTCAGGTTCGAGTGGCCTAGAGGCTCCAGACGGAGAGGATATTCCTCCCGTGGGGAAATGCCATCCCCTTGCAATACCTCTAACGGCACTCGCCAATTCTCGGCTTGAGGTCCCCTTAGGATCTCGCCATCCCCAAAACGCTGTAATGGTCATCTTCGACCAACAGCGTGTATTCTGTTGGTCGCAGACTTTAATGTTAGGCAGAGATAATTTTTACTCAAAAAATATATATATATATATATTTATATACAGTGCCGTCTTTGACCTATTGGGGGCCCTGGGCTTATTAGGATAATGAGGCCCCTATGACCCATGTTTGGTGATTTAACAGCAACTAGGGACTTTGTATTTGATCTGAGTGGGGCCCCTATCGATCGCGGGGCCCTGGGCACTTGCCCAAAGTGCCCATTGGGAAAGAGGGGTCTGTATATATAGCTTAGGTAGCTTTCCAATTACAGCATTATAGCGCATTATGCGGTATAATGCTTAACGTTGAGTGTTTCAACTACAGCAACGCTTCGCACAATCATAGAGTACATTATATACTAGCGCACAATCGAGCACTTTCAAAAGTAATGCTTTCGTTTGATGCGTGCAATCGTACCAACTCAGAGACAGAAAATTAACAAGTGTTTTTTCTTTAAGTTGGCATTGATGTGAAATGTTTTATTTATATGTTATCGTTAGTAATATTATTTATTGTTGAAAAATTATTAAACCTGTCGTTTCATTATAGTTTTTTTTAAATAATCAAAGTTAATTCAAACTGTGTTAAAAAATTAAATATAAATATGGATGAAGGTACAAACATTGACTTTTTTTTTCAACACTGAACTTAGCGCACTCTGCTGGTCCATTTAAAAACTAATGCACGTTCCAATTAAGCATTAGCATAATTCGGCATTGTGCGTCACTGAGTCGCATTATGCTCTGTAATTGGAAAACTACCATATATACTATAGTAGCGGCACGCTATGATGGCCATTATGACGTCTGTGCGTTCATGAAGTTTCATAATCGAAATTAGTTCTACATTTGAGAGAAATAATTATATGTAGTTCTTCATTGGTATCGATTCTGGCATGATTCTCTAAATTTAAAACTAAATTTAACATCAGTCTTTCTTTTTCATTCTGTACAGAGAATGAAAAGGATGCAGTGATGTCGATTCTGGCATGATTCTCTAAAGCTAAACTTAAATTTGACAACAGTGCATCTCCGTCGTTCTCTATACAGAATGAAAAGGAGAGACTGATGTTAAATTTAGTTTTAAGTTTAGAGAATCACGCCAGAATCGACACCAGTGTCGTCAAATTTAAGTTTAGGTTTAGAGAATCATGTCAGAATCGACACCAATGCTGTCCTTACAAATAGCAATATAAATTCAACAGCCTTGTGATTGTGAGTTGCTAGATAAATTATAATCTCTTTACTTTTCTTAAAAAAAAAAAACTAACTGCTGTCAAAAAAGTACTCTAGCCTGTGGTATTTTCTCGCCACTCTTGTCAACTTAGTGTATTGTACCCTAGATTTAGGGTAAAATCAAACTGCCAAGGTAAATTTTTTGGCCGTAAAAATGTTTAGGGTAACTTTCGAGCAAAAATTATGCTTAGGATGTTTTTTGGTGTAAAAAGCTTCAAATAAAAGTGAAAAATATCGAGAGAAGCCTCTTCGGCAAATATTTTCAACGGGCTTTCATAATATTTAACATGTTTGTCATTGTAATACTCAGTAACTTACCTACAGTTTGTCTATAAAGTCGTGACATTAATGTTTGAGGAACTATCATTATTCATGTGTCTGGCAACACCAAACTTATGTACATCAGCTGTCATCGAGTTTCAGTTGTGGAACAGTTTTCCTTTTGTATTTTTTATTGTTTGGATTAAACTGTAATAAATTAAGACGAAACTACGCAGAAAGGTATAAAAATGAGTAAATTAAATCGGAGTGGCACGCGGGAAGTGATCTTTAAAGTTTTCCAGCGATGTTTCGAAGACTACCAAGCTGGACGAATTTTGTGGGATTTGGATGATTTTATGGGCGAATAGCATCTATAACGGGTATGTTAATCGTGTAACTATTTGTTTGTAATCTGCCTGAAGTTACAAATGTACTCAATTTACGATTTTGAGACCAAAAAGGCATTGTTTACATTGCACATTTTTAGGTTAGATTTACATTGTAAATAGGTAATATTGTAGTACGACCATTTCTTTTGATACGTTATTATGGTTCAACTCGGTCAGGTTTTCTACCAATTTTGAATTAATTGCTTCATGTCAATAAGTTATTGTTTCTATTCCGTTACATATTTTTTTACTTTGTTTTCAGGAAAATCAGAGTCGGATAGTCAACGAAGGTTTTAAGAATGATGGAAAGTTTGAAACTCCTGGGAAAACAGGCAAGGCCGACCAAAGAAAGAAATGGTCACATAAAGAACCATGGCCAGATGCTTTTAGTGAAGATACCTATCACTAATTTTACTAACTGCACATTTACAAATTGTTTCTCTAAATAAACTTTTTATACACTATAAAATGATTTTTAGTATTATTTTCTTAACAAGTGTGTTAAAAAACGTCGTATGATGATGTGTGTATTGATGATTACTTAACGGCTCTGGTCTCAATGGCACCTCAGCGGTAATCACCAACATTACACACTTTTACACCATAAAGCTCCCTATTCCATCCATAGGGAATGCCTGTGCCCCAGCAGTGGGGACATTAATAGGCTGATGATGATGATGATGATGATGACACCATAAAGTACTATTTTATCTATAATAATTTTATTCTGATTCAATTAAATATGGTTGGCTAAACTTTTTATTTATAAGCATAGGTACCTACTATATATAAAACAGAAACAAAATACGACTGTATAGTGTGTCTTATTAATTACCTATTTTACCTGAATGAACTGCTAGTATCAAAATCATTTTGGTCAGACTGTACAGGGTTGCTACATGCATACTAGTGGCGCCATCATTTATTGACACGACTTTTTAGACAGACTGTACTACTATCCAAACAAGAATTTAAAAAGATAGTTAACTATGCTGATAATGTGCCAAGAACTTTTTTTTATTAATACCCCTAATACAATAATATTATATGTGATAAAACATTTTCATGGATTTTTGTAGTTTATTTAATTTCAATACGCTCTATGTGGTTATCACCATCCCTAAAAGAAGGTAAGTGTCAAGTATTAATTTACTATTCAATCCACACTTCACACTGGATATATATGTATAAGAAGGATACATAATAATTTCAAGTTAAGAGATACAGGTCTGTATATGTACTTACATGGAAAATATTTTGTTTTAATTTTTGTGGTTTCTTTTTAATATAAGCGTTGTCTTTTTACGTTAGTAACATTTACTTTTAAAATCTTCCTGTTTAGTTTTAAAACTAATGCAATTTGTCTGATGATGACTGCAACGATATTAAATACCCTAGATACAACAACACGATCAAAATCGTGGCCGAAACGTGTCCAATAGGTACATTGGATCCACGGGGCTCCGTAAGATAATCGCGTGGTCAAAAACAATATAAGTCATTATTTAAACATTCAAAGTCTTCTTTAATTCATACTGTTTAAGGTCTTAATTTAATGCATGCGTCATATACTTATGAGAGTTCGAAATGCAAGCTTGTAAAATTTAACGACTTATTGCTATATGAGGAAGAATATACACCTTATAGCAAGTATTAGAACAAAATTTGCTTAAAATGCGTTAAATTAACAAACATTGATTAGATGACTGTCGAAAAACGACACTTTACATACTACTATTAGTATTTTTTCACATTTTTTCACGGAGCTCTGCGGTATCTTGATTTTACAACGGTCCGCGCGTGAATGTGAACCAAGAAGTGCTTCAGTGGAGTTCAAGCACTTCTTGATTGAGATACATTTTGAGCTCGTGGTGTATGTAGGGTATTTAATATAGTTGGATGACTGTCGTCTTATCCTTTTTAGAAGTTTCTATGGCACCGGGCTTTCTACCAATAGATCCACTCACAATTCCCACAACTGCTTTTGGAATAGGGAAGGCAAGCCTAACATATCATCCAAATGAAATAGAGCTTGAGTAAATATTTTTTTGTTGACCATAGTGAATAAATCTTAACTTCTACAAGCATAGTCGAAAGAGCTAATTACCACGGCAGTGACTGTTCCCAAAAATTGTGCATATACAAATAGTGTATCAGTCTTATTTGGGTATTAAATGAAAACCTAAGAAACAAATATTATTTGGGTATTTTTCAAAATTTTCATGAAATATAGGGTAAACTTCTCATGTTACCTTGTTAAGGGTAAAAATAAATGGAAACCTGGCGACATTGTCGCTGGCTCGCTCTCCTCAAGAAGATTAATTTAATTAAAGACCAGGCTGTATGGGCATTGTTCCCTTTGCCTTCATTAAAACGGGAGAACTTCAACAAAAAAAAAACTCGCTCTCCTCAGCTTTGGGTTTTGGTTTACTCCCCACACTAGCCTTCCATTGAACAGAATCATCATTTTTCTCTGAAAATACACATCGACACACAAAATGGTGAGTATCAATTCAACATTTATTAAAAACTTCACTTATCACACTGATTTGCACTACTTTTGTAACATAATTTATTACTATTTCCATAGAATCTCTAACCGATGTTGTTGCACATGTGACTTCATGATCATGAATAAAATTGGTTACAGGTTTCGTTGAATCCCATAAGAATATTGAAAAATGACGCAGAAGAGGAGAAGGCTGAAGTTGCTCGTATGTCCAGCTTTATTGGAGCTATTGCCATTGGCGATTTGGTGAAGAGCACTTTGGGTCCGAAAGGAATGGACAAAATTTTAGTATCTTGTGGAAGAAATGCTGGACAGGTTAGTTACATTCACCTCATCAAAATTTAACTTATTTGAATTTTTGTGTATTACAAAATTTATTTGAATTTTTGTGTATTACAATGGGCCCAATTCTGGCGTGCCAACTTATATCTAAAACTAACTAAAATTAGATATAGAGGTGTCAAATTCAATTTGGTATTCTGTAATGACACCCTATCTCTAAATTTAAAATTGACGTTGCTAAGTTATTCAACTTAGATTTAGATGATTAAATGGTATTCTGAAACGTGTTCTAAATGTCATATTTTCTCTAAAATTAGAAATGTCACACTAAATTTAAGAAGGACCTACGGAGGTCCTCTCTAAATTTAAATGTGAAAAATCGGGCCAAATAGTAGGTAAATGATTGATGGACTTAAATTTTTGAGTTGTTGTTAAGGTTGGATATGGGTTTATTTCGTTAAAAAAAGCCATAAATTTTATACAATCATGAACGACGACGGTGATAATTAGCTAGATCTTTTATTTTTTTTAAAAGGTAGGTAAGTCTATGTTACGATGCGGATTTATGAGCCTATTAATGTGTCATGAGTCACCACGCAGGCCTAATGCAGCTTAGGCTAATGACTGCAGATGCAGCGAGCAGCAACATAGAAACTCGAATTAATACATTTTTGGTTGGTCACCCATCCTAAGATCGGCCATTGTGAAAGTTGCTTAACTTCACGATCGCAGAATGAACGCGTTACACATGCGCTATTGTGGTCCTTCGTAGGTAATTGTATACGTATATCTTGTATAAAATATTAAATAATTTAAGGTCAAATCTTTTTTAACATAAATAAAAATCCACTTCATATAAAAAACAAGCTAAAGAGGTAAGATATCTATGTGCTAATTCCTTAAGTAATACCTACAGTACCTACTTATATCTAAAGTACATAGTCAAATAATTAACAAATAATAGATATGGTGTCAGTGATATGCATTTCAATCACCAATTCCAATCCAAATATTATTTTGACTTTAAATGAAGGACTTTACTGTATTATTTGATCCTTTGTTTTTAGTGGTTTTGTTTTTATGAAGCAATTTTAATATTTGTTATAAATGATTTTATTTCCCACTTTTTATATGCTTATTATAACCTAACACGAAATAAGTTCCTACTGTTTGTAATTGAGAAGTTTGCTTTTATATATCCGAAAGTGTTTGGCATTCACCAAATGAATAATTGAGATTTGGGACGATTTCGCCAAAAACTGATAGAAACAAAAAAAGATAAAAAATAGGTTATGCATCTCGGATTATAAAATAAATGAGTACAAAATCTTCACAAAACAGCCGAGGGGATAATTACAACCTCTGACCGAAACCGAAATTTATAACCGTAGGAACCTAGGAAATTTTCAAGGATAATTTACGTTAGACCGTGTCGGCCGTAGCAGAGTTAACGAATCATCATCATTTCCTATTAATGTCTCCATTGCTGCGGCACAGGCCTTCCCTATGCATGGAATAGGGAGATTGGGCCATGACCCATCACACGGACCCAGTGCGGATTGGCGGCTGCTAACGACTGCAGATGCAGCCGGGACCAGCGGCTTAACGTGCCTTCGGAAGCACTGAGAAACTCCAGATAGAAGATTTTTGGTCACCCATCCAATGACCGACCACTGCGAAAGTTGCTTAACTTCAACGATCGCAGCCGAACGCGCTAACCACCTGCGCCATCGAGCTCCTCTAGTTAACTAATATTAAATAATATATTTTTTATGGATTATGGACACACACGCTATTCCGTGCGGGAACTCACTGACAACCGAGCACCAAATGAAACAACGCTCGGAAAAAACTTGGTCTCGCTTCGGCTCGGCCACGGCCCGTTGCATGAATACAGCGCCGGCGCGGTGCCGTCGGGCAATCGTAGTGATACCTCAAACAAAACAGAAACGTTTTCCTCGGACGAGTACACTTAGGGTGCGGCCAGAGTGCACTCAGATTCAGATTCAGATTTCGAAAACAAGCGTGAGAAATAAACAGTGTAGTCGAAGGGTACGGCCAGAGTGCACTCCTGATTCAGATCAGATTCCGAAAACAAGCGCGAGAAATAAACAGTGTAGTCTAAGCAGGTTGCCTGCTTTTTCTCGCGCATTGTTTTCTGAGTCTGAATCTGATTGCACTCTGGCCGTACCCTTACCGTGTTTACTTTATCTGAATGATTAGACTGCATCACGGCGCAACGGTACCTACCTAATTGCTCGGTCGAGGTACGTCTTTGTAAATTACAGGTACGGGACCGGCTGGGTGACCGTGTTACGGCTGAAGCTCTGCTCGGACTCGACACGTTCTATCGTCACTAATCGTCCTTAATAGATTTTTCGGTAGCTACCAAAATCTAGTCGGTACCTATATTTAAATTTAATTTTAAAAGTGGCGGCTTTCCCCCAGCCTTTTGCCAAAAAAAACTTAGGCATTCTCTAAGAAAAAATATGATTCCTAAAGTTGTCCCCGTAGATTTAATTTCTCCAAGTTTATAGTTTTCCCCAAAATAACGATAAACACTCCCAATCTAGAAACCCTGAGTACCACAGAGTAGGCAAGTATTCACTCTTTAGTATTATTCATAATCTCATACAGTAAAATACCTAACAAACTTATGTTATGTTTTCATATTTCAAAGATGATGAAGAACAACAGAGAATTACTGAAATAAGTCAAAATCACTGAATAATAAGTATTTATTGCTAATTTGAGTAAACCGATAATTACCGGTTCAATACTTTTACATTATCTGTGAATTCAATTTAAATGCTTGATTGCAGCTGTCACTTGTGATCTTAATTTAGTTAGTTCGCAATTTCGGAATACCAATTCACTAAACCTAAACTAAAATTAGCTCGCTAATTTTTAGTTTAGGTTTAGAGAATGTAACGCCAGAATTGGGCCCATTATCTATCTAAATAATAGTAGTAGTCTTAATAAATGTATCTAGATATAAATGACGAAATCTCCAAAAAGCACACAAAGTAGATTGGTCTGAAAATGAAATATTATTTTTAAATGATATTCCCTATGTGCATTAAAAATACTGAGTTTTTTAATTTTAATATTTTTTTAGGTTGAAGTTACAAATGATGGTGCCACTATACTGAAATCCATTGGAGTTGACAACCCTGCTGCAAAAATTTTGGTTGACATGTCCAAGGTTCAAGATGATGAAGTTGGTGATGGGACAACTTCTGTCACTGTATTAGGTATAAAATAATATTTTCATTGGTTTATTCTTCTATTTCATCTATGAATAATGAAAGATTTATAAGTATATCATTAGAACTAGTTCATGTATCAGAATTGAATGGATATTTATGCAACACATGAAGAACAACTAACTGTACTGGTAATGTTCATCTTTATGAGAATTATACTACAACATTTATGAATTGCAAAGTTTTTTGGTCCATTCTTTTCAGCTATAGGTAGCTGTAACTTCTTGACCAATCCACAGACAAATAAACTTGAGCAGTAGATGTTATAGTCTGTTAAATTGCACTGCATAGGCTTCCTTGTCCAAGTTCAATGTTCAAGAAGCTTGCTGGGGTGTATAAAAGATATGATTGGGTGGTTGAATCAGAAATAATGCAGTTGATTCCACCTCACAAACTTAGCAATGCCCATTTTTATGTGTGCCTGACAATAGAAAGTCTAACAGACATGAGTATTAAGTCTCTGGCTCAAAAGTAAAATTGGAGTTTGTTTTTATTCCTCTATAGAAATAAATAACTTACTGCAAACCATTAAAATATATAAGTTGAATGAGTGTTTTTTATGCCCTGTTACTAAATTTTCAAAAGAAAAGACGTCAAATTGAGGGAAAGTTAAGAAATGAATATGTGAATATTTTATTGCTTTTTAGCTGCTGAACTATTACGTGAGGCTGAGAAACTGATAGAGCAGAAATTACACCCTCAAACAATCATTGCTGGGTGGCGTTTGGCTGTAGATGCTGCAAAGCAAGCTCTTGCAGAAGCTAGTTTTGACCATGAAAAGAATTTGAATGAGACTGCATTACGGTCAGATCTTGAAAATATTGCAAGAACAACATTGAGTTCCAAAATTTTATCAAACCACAAAGAGTAAGTAAAATCATAAAAACAACATTTATGAAAAGTCAAAGTTTGAATGCTTAAACTATTGACCATGTTTCTGATTATTCTGTAGTTTACAACAAATGCTTTGTATTTCAATTGGACCAATTTCAGCAAAAATGATCCAACCCATGACAATTTCGTTGTTTTGTGACCAATATACTTCAAATAAGGTATATTTTAACATATTAAAGACTTGGAACTCTTATGTTAATAATTGACGAAAATCCTATGGTCCAACCCACAGCTGTTATGGCAAACATATTTTTTTTTATAAAGCCTGGTTGCCCTAGGTAATAAGTATTATTTTTTTTTGTTATAATGATTCAAACTACTTAGGAAGATTATGCTTTTTTTACAATATGGAAAATATTACAAAAATCATTCTGCTTTAATGTTCCAATAACCTCAAACTTTAATCAATTCCAAGTAACCACTTGGATGGATTGGATTCAGACCACTTGAATATCTAAAAGATCTTTTTAAATATAGGAAGACGAAAATTTTTATTCTTATAACAATTCATGTTTGAGTATAAAATTACCATTGATATTTCGGCTATTAAATAAAGAGAATATTATATTTATATGGAAAACTTTAATAAGGTATGCATTCATTTAATTAAAAAAAAATTGTACCTACAATGAAATAGACCTTGAGTAACATATACACATACAAACATTATATATGTTTATTGTATTATATTTATATATGTATATTTTGCATGAAAGCTGAAAATTCATAGAGAGACTGTAAAATATTTAATAATACAATTAAGTATCCCACTGCTCAATAAGTCTTGAAGGTAGCTCGACAAAATAAATAATTATCGTAATTCTTGAGTTTCTATTTTTGCATTTTTCTTAACACAACCTATACAACTAATTCTATATAAAATTTATGAATGTAATAATGATCCCCTCGCAGGTTTTCTTCAATATCTCCTAAACTTTTAAAATTTATTTACTAAATACATGCCTATAAATTTTAGTACACTTAGAATACATTAAAATTAAAAACACAATATTTAGCATTACAAAGCCAGAGAAAAACCGCAATAAACTTTAAACTTTATTATCGCAAAATGAGGTTTGTGTGGACTGGATCATTTTTGCTTAAATTGGTCTAATTAGGGGGCGTCCATAAATTACGTGAGGTGTTTTTTTGGATTTTCTGTCCCTCCCTCCCTCTCTGGTGAGATGTCGTGAGATTTTATTCAACCCCCTCCCCCATCCCCCAATCTCACGTGAGATTTTTCAATATGTGGGTTTCTTTTGTAAACGCGTTGGATTGTTATTGTAAAAAGAAAAAAAAATGCTTTGTTCTTTTATTTACGACTAGTTAAGACTAGTAATCAATATTGCTGAGAGTTATAAGTGTAATAAAAATTTAACAATAGAATACTTAATAGATACTACTGTGAAAAAAAATTGCGTGATATTTGCCGAGATCCCCCCTCCCCTTAAACAGCTCACGTAATTTATGGACGCCCCCTATTTCCCTAATGGGTCACCTTGCTTTTCGTCATAGACATGCCTCATCTAAAGCTGGGTGCCCAACTTGTCCTAAGTACTCTTTCCTGAAATTTATATCCTTTTTTCCTCTTGTTATCTCTAACCTTAAAGAAAAGTAATTCTTTTTAATATTCTTTTATGTTTCAAGACAATTTACTATTTTATTAATGTTGTGGATTTTCTACCGCCAGTTCTTCTTTACACCTAAAAGAAGTCTTAAATTTGTAGAAAAGCAATATAAGAATATTCAAAAAGGAAGTTTTATACTTGGGATTTGAATAAAAAAATTTGTTTTGACGTGACAACGTCTTAAATTAGGTTGCGGCTGGGAGTCACTTATGAAAAAGTGTAACGCTCGGTAACGTTACGATGAGTTTAAGTTTACATGTACAATGTTTTAGTAAACAAAATATATTTCTATAGTTAAAATTTGTGCAATTCTTATTTTCATTCAATTCCTTGTTCCTATTGTGCAATTTAATTATATTCATATCAATAAATATTCTACCGAGAAAAAGACGTTGTCACGTAAAATCTTCGCCCGTAAAACCGACTTTACAGGCAACCATTTTTTTTCTCTCTCATTTATTAGTGTATTAATCTGTACTTGGCCTCCCGTCAGTCACTTGTATACCTCTACTGCTATTATTAAATAACATAAAGAACAGTCAGTCCTTTTTACACATTCTAGGCATTTCACAAAGTTGGCTGTTGATGCAGTTTTACGTCTCAAGGGTTCTGGCAATCTTAAGGCTATCCAAATTATCAAAATTTCTGGTGGAGTACTTGAAGAGTCATTCTTGGATGAAGGATTTTTATTAAATAAGAAGGTAATAATAATGCTAGTATGGTCATCGCCCTCGCTGTTATAGACTTTATTTTTATAGACTATATACTTTTTACTCATTGTCTTGTAATATATAAGGTCCTTACATATGAAATTGACGTTTGTACGGGAGGAATATAAAGTCAATTTTTTTTGGTAAAATATATTTAATTAATCAAAGTGTGCACTGTTGTTATGTAGAAGGAAATGAAGGAGGCCTTCATCCTCTCAGGGGACCATAATTATTAGTATATAAGATAAAAAAAAAATGTTTATGTTAGTTTAATTATGGTAATTAAAATGCTTTTTATTTTATTTTATTATGCACTGTTGTTATCTATGTACTTTTGCCATCGCATAGGTAGTTCATTTATTCAGATGTTTTTCCTTGTAAAAAGTTGTCCAAATTCCGGAAAAAATGGTAATCTGTTGGAGCAAGGTCCGGGGACGACGGATGTTGCAGATATTCCAACTGTAGTTCATCTAACTTAGTGGTTGCTTGTTGTCAGTGTGTGGTCTTGAGTTGGCGTGAAGCAGTAGTGGCCTAGAGCGATTGACCAATCTCGGTTGTTTAGCAGTTGCTGACAATAGATATCTGCCGTAATCGTTTGGCCAGATTTTAGAAAGCTGTAGTGAACGACACCGGCGCTAGTCCACCAAACACTTACAAGTAACTTTTTCTGAGTAAATTTTCGTTTAGTGCAGAATTTGGCTTGGTCTCCAGTGTTGAGCTATTGCGACCAGCGCTTCCGATTATCGTACAGTATCCACTTTTCATCACAAGTAATGATTCGATTTAAAATCCTTTCATTATTGTGTTGGTTGAGCAAACTAACACAGCAGTCGCTTGTTTGCAAGTTCGATTCACTCAATTTATAAGGTACCCTTCGTTCAAGTTTTTTTACTTTCCCAAATTTGCTTCAAGTCGATTAATACAGTTTTGTCACGAACCCTGAAGCCTGTAGCTATCTCTGAAGTGCTTTAGGATGGATCCGCTTCCACAATAGCCTTTAATTCTTCATTTTCCACTTTAGTCTCCAGCCATCCACAGGGTTGGTTCTGAAGGTCGAAATTTCCAGAACCAAAACGCTGAAAAGAAAAACCTACTGTGCTCTTGCGACACCAGCGCCTAGACATCATTAATAATTCGAACCGTTTCTGTAGCACTGGTGCCACGGTAGAACTCGTAGTCGTAAATATATCGATATTTCATGTTTTCCATTGTGCGGTAGCAAGCGACGCCAAAGAAAAAAATTGAGGAAAAAAGCAAATGAATGACTGTTTTCAAAAGTCAAATATACCAGCTAAATGAATTTATCAATTTGAATTTGGATTTCTTAACCAAAGAAGAGATATTTCAGATCAAAGTGGTCAGTACGGCAAAACGCTTATTCAATATGTAAGGACCTAATATATGTTTTATGCAACGTGTAACAGAAATAACACACACGAAAATACCATATATCTAAGTATTTTTTTTATTTTGTGCATGTTGATCATCATTCTCCAATTTGTGTAGTTAATTATTAGTTACTAGCTGTGCCGCACGGTATTACCCGCGGTTTATTAGGGATATTTTCCCGCAGTAAAATGTAGGCTATGTGTTAATCCAGGGTGTCAGCTAACTCCATACCAAATTTTATTAAAATCGCTCCAGCCGTTTAGACGTGAAGAAGTAACAAACATACACACTTAAACTGTTTAATTTTTATATCTATGAAAGATTATTACTAGAAAACAATTCCAGTCTATTCATTATTTCCAAACTTTGTTTTTCAGGTTGGTGTACATCAACCAAAACGCATTGAAAATGCCAATATTCTGATTGCTAACACACCTATGGACACAGACAAGATTAAGGTATTCGGCTCTACTATCAAGGTAGATTCCATGGCTAAAATTGCAGAGCTTGAAGTTGCTGAAAAGGAAAAAATGAAGGATAAAGTCAACAAAATCTTGTCACATAAATGCAATGTATTTATCAACAGGTGAGTACAATAGTTTTCTTATACATGATGACAAAAATAAATACATTTGTTTAATAAAAATCTTTACAGCTAACATTAGCAAAAAGAGAGATAAAAGTTTGAAATAAAATTAAGGTTTCTCAAAGGTTCTAAGACAATTATAAAAAAATATAATTTAGGAATCCTTACAGCTTAAAATTGTTTTCAGGCAACTTATCTACAACTATCCAGAACAGCTATTTGCCGATGCCGGTGTGATGGCCATTGAACATGCAGATTTTGATGGTATTGAACGGCTAGCTCTTGTTACTGGAGGAGAGATTGTTTCGACATTCGATTCCCCAGACAAGGTTAAACTTGGACACTGCAAGGTTATCGAACAGGTAAAGAACCCAACCAAGATTCTTTAGATATACCATTTTAAAATAAGTTAAGCATGAAGTATTCCTGTTATATCCAGAAATGGATTTATGAACATTCTGTCTGTAAGTTTAGAAACTTTGTTCCTTTTTGGACGTTAAAAATTTGCTGGATGAGCTGGGCGAAAAAAAAGGAATATTTTTCTGTTACAACTGTCAGTAGTTTCAAAGCGAATTGTGTGTAGTTGTGTTTATATTCAACTTTATTCCACCCAGGCAATCGAGTGTTTCATAATATGCTCGTTTGCGTTTTTTCTTTAGTCATAATTTAATGTCATTCAATTTGCCTCTATGTCTTACACTAATTTCTTTGTGGTTTAGGTGTTAATCGGGGATGAATGCTTAATTCGGTTTTCGGGCGTAGAACTGGGTTCCGCTTGCACCATAGTGATCAGAGGTGCCACACAGCAAGTCATAGATGAAGCAGAGCGTTCACTGCACGACGCTCTATGTGTGCTCGCTGCTACTGTGAAAGAGCCAAAGATTGTTTATGGAGGAGGTAAGCTGTAAATAATATTGGATGGTATTTATTTCCCAACTCAAAAAATGCCTCTAAAGACGCGCCTAAAGAAATTTTCACTTCAAAAATAATGTTATTTTTATTAGTTATAATTAGATAACATTTCGATAGTAAATTGTATAGAGCAGACTCATATCCGTCGGAATTAGTTAAAGTAACTTTAATTACTAACGTATTCAATAATAAACCTATAATATAATATACGGCTAATGAAAGTTACTACTACTACTTACTTGTATATAAAATCAACGATCAAACTTTTACGGTCGTAGTATATCCAGCCGATAAATGCACTCGGAGAATTGCTCGGGATGCGTGCGGAAAAATATGGCATAGGTCCTGCCTCCAAGGGCGCTGGCGCCGATCGGCGAGTAGTTGAGCACATATTGCATTTTATGGGTGATGTTTTAGGTCTTATAAAATAATAATTAATGAAGTTATTATAAAAATATATTTATATTTCAGTTCTTTGATGGTTGTAGATTAAGTTTATATAAATTTTTGATAGTTATTGTACTTTATTCAATATCTAAACCTGCGTCATTATTAGGTAAAACTTACATGGTTCAATGATTTTAAAATTAGTGAGTTTAAAAGTCAATATTACGTTACATTATGTTACAACTAGAACATATTTCTGATAATGTAGCAATTAATTTAAACTAGTTAATTCAATCTTACTTATAGATCTAGATCTTTGAAGTTGTGCATTTTGTTGTTTTTTCCGTGAAGAAGGTGCGGTCGAACGATCAGTACAAAAAAAAAGGATAATATTTGCTCAAATATTTTACATTAACTTACAAAAAGAAGGTAAATCTACTTCTTACTTGTTTCAAAAATAGTCAAAACATTTGTGACAGGGTAAAGCAGGCGCTAAAAAATTAAAATTTCTAGCAAAAAATGTAAAAGGGCTCTTAAATGCTATCAGTGATTGGAAAATTTTATTAAAATTAAAAAATCTTCTCCATTGTATATTTTATTCAGCACAAACTGCTTTTTTGTGTATCTTGGGATTTAAGTTAGCTCCACAAATTTAATTTCTGTTTGTTAAACTTTTAGTGTAATTTACTTATTAATATTATGTTGTATTATTTTTTATTATTATTATGCTTGGTGCTCAATAGCGCAAGTGGTTAGCAGGTTCGATCTGTTATCGTTAAAGTTAAGCAATTTTTGAAATCTCTGGTCATCTGGAACTCCCCCATGCACGAGCACGTCGATCAAGCTTGTATTACAAAATTATTGTTTGTAATCGAAATCTTCGAAACAAATTACACTCGGACCTCATGTGTGAAATTACATCAGTCCCGTCACGTCAAAAAGGACGCGTAATTTTGTCTGGTATCACGGTGACATAATTTACGTAGGTGTGTTCTGACCAGCGTTGCCAGATTTTTTTTGAAAAGTCGGGATTTAGGAACTTTTTGATTGAAAAAAGCGGGATACTTGCGTCGAATGCGGGACATAGTAAAAAACTTATATAATCAAAAGTTTTTGAATATTTATCTTTTTGAGTTCAAATTACGTTTACGTGACAATAGATAGGTACTTAGTAAAAATATCCATAGAAAATGCATTTCAATAAAAAATATGATATTTTAAATCAGATTTACCCACCCTATCGTTAAATAGTTGTCTTTGTTTGAGAGTTCTGGGCAGGTGGTCAGTCCGCACTTGTCTGTGCCACCCGCCCGCGTTTTCTCAGTACGCTGCACGCACGGTCGAGTTATTCCCGAAAAGCGGGAATGATCCTGTCCCGCGCGGGAGATTAAATTTTGATTTAAAAAGCGGGACGTCCCGCCAAAATCGGGACCTCTGGTAACGCTGGTTCAGACACTAATAGGCTGATGACTGATATGATAATTATGGTAGGTGCTAGCGAGATGTTGATGGCGGAAGCGGTGTCGCGAGTGGCGGCCCGCACGCCGGGTAAAGAGGCGGCGGCGACGGAAGCGTTCGCCATCGCCCTGCGCCGCCTCCCCTCCGCCGTGGCCGACAACGCGGGCTACGACAGCGCCGAGCTGATCGCCAGGCTGCGGGCCAGTCACGCGCAGGGAGAGACCACCATGGGACTGGGTAAGTTGACCACCGCCCTCCCCTCCGCCGTGGCCGAGAACGCAGGCTACGACAGCACCGAGCTGATCGCCAGGCTGCGGGCCAGCCACGCGCAGGGAGAGACCACCATGGGACTGGGTAAGATGACCACCGCCCTCCCCTCCGCCGTGGCCGAGAACGTGGGTTTCGACAGCGCCGAACTGATCGCCAGGCTTCGGGCCAGCCACGTACAGGGGGAGATTACCATGGGACTAGGTAAGATAACCACCGCCCTCCCCTCCGCCGTGGCCGAGAACGCAGGCTACGACAGCACCGAGCTGATCGCCAGGCTGCGGGCCAGCCACGCGCAAGGGGTGATCACCATGGGACTGGGTAAGATGACCACCGCCCTCCCCTCCGCCGTGGCCGAGAACGCAGGCTACGACAGCACCGAGCTGATCGCCAGGCTGCGGGCCAGCCACGCGCAGGGAGAGACCACCATGGGACTGGGTAAGACAACCATCGTGCGCGGACAGTCGGCAACGGTTGCCGCGACCACACCCGCACTTCCGGCGTGCATTGGGGGGACTGCGGTCCTCAGAATGTACGCCGGGTGACCGGTGCAGGAGTATTGTCTGGTTTTTAGTGGCCCTGTTCAGGGCGTTAGGTAGGGCTACAAATCATTTCAGCCAGCCCTTAGGCCGGGTGAAATGAGCAGGGAGGAGACCCACATACCTTCTTCTTGCTCCCCCGGTGGTTGAAGGATGCGTAAAGCATTTCCCAGACAAAAAAAAAAAGGTAAGATAACCATCGCCCTCATCTCCGTCGGGGAGACAACGGGGGTTTCAATAACGCCGAGCTGATCACCAGGCTCCGGTCCAGCCACGCGCAGGGGGAGATCACCATGGGACTGGGTAAAATAACCACCGCTCTGTGTCGCCTACCCTCTGTCGGGGAGACAACGCGGGCTACGGCAGTTAGCCATCTTGCTTTGTGCCATAGAGTACGATCGATCACTTTTTCATATCACAATGGCTCCTCTGTCTTTCGGTCTCAAAAATAAATGGTCTCACACACAACATAACATTTTCAATTATATAAGGGGAAATATTGTCAATAATATTCTTGTGTCATAAATACTTAGCAAATTCGTTTTGATTGCAGATATGGAGAACGGCCGCGTCGGTGATATGAAAACTCTCGGTATCACGGAGTCCTACGTGGTGAAAAGGCAAGTTCTGGTATCTGCTGCAGAAGCTGCAGAAGTGATTCTACGCGTAGATAATATTCTGAAGGCAGCACCACGCCGTCGTGGCCCCGATCGTCGTCCGTGCTAATTCAATAAACGTATTTAAAGCAACTATTTTTTACTAAATGGACCTAGATAGACTTGATAGCCAGCCCAAGATATGCTGCATATGCGCTAGCATTAGCACCGCGATATGAAATATAGCTCGTTTTATCACGCTCCATTGTCAAATTACTATCGAGTCTGACAGTTGGGCGCGATAAAAAACGTAATATAATGTAAATAGTGGTGCTCATGCTACGGGGACTAGTTTTGTTATGAAGGTGTCCATTTACCTGAAAAAATTGCGCTGTAACAAAGTATTTTATTTAACAATTTATTAATTATATGTCCATGTAATATTACTTATGTAGGGAGAAGTGGCGGGATTAAATTATGGATTTGTAGCCTTGATTAATTTTAGATTTTATTTTTATTTTTTGAGGCTCGCAACACTTCTTGGTTTTCGTTGATGGACTTCTCTTTATATATGTATGCTTTTATTCTGCTTTACTGAACTACGTAGAAATACTTATGTCAACCTTTTCCATAGTTGCTGTAAAGCGATTTATGTTTTGGTCACAAGTACCTAAGGTTCAACGCCTATGATTTGTTAGTTTTGCTAGCAAAATCCATATAAACTGCTAAGTTAATAATAATTTTCAATTATAGATTATAGTTTTCAGGCTTAATGTGCCTTGATATTTTACCTTTAATAAAATTAAATATTAACAACAAATGTTTTTTTATTTTCAATTAAGGTCACCCAGGGCTTTTGGAGTTACTAAAAATTGATTCAAACTTATGTCTTGAATATTTTTACACTTTAAATACAATTAATTCTTTATAATGCACATTTACTAATTCATAACGTACACGAGTTCAGATTGATAATGAAGCAATAAATTATTTTAAATTGAAGATATTCCACTAAGAACCGCCAATAGTCACTTTTGCCCCCGATCTGGGGTAAACGTAGCTAACCGTTATGACTTTGTTGTTGTATCTATAATTCTCAAACTAACAAACGTCAGGTCCAACTTAATGTTTCTTTTTTGTACTTCAATGCTCTGTATTAGAGTTCAATTTGCTTTAAATATACTTAAGGTACCATCAGGGATAAATGTATCTTTTTCCATATACATATACTAGCGGCCCGCCCTCGCTTCGCTGCGGTGTAGAGCTGAAGTGTAGACTACAGTTTTTGTTCTCAGGCTTGTATTATACACAATGACATTCATCTATGATTCTTCTTATACCTGCATGCCAAGTTTCAGCCCGATCCGTCCAGTGGTTTGGGCTGTGCATTGATAGAAGATCACTATGTCAGTCGGTCACCTTTGAGTTTTATAAATGTTACGCTCAAAGATCGAAAACGCTCAGTGAGCGGAAAAATAGCTCACAACGCGTTGTGGTCACAGTAAAACATCCACATCGCGAAATTAGTGTTATGGCTCTAATAAAAACGCGCAGGACGCGTTGTGGCAATCACAGAAAGACCAAATAGCGAAATTCGTGTCGTGGCTGACATGCTATTCGATCTCAACGTTGAGATCGAATAGCATGTCAGCCACGACACGAAATGAACACTGAGCGTTTTCGATCTTTGAGCGTAACATATATATAGATAGATGAGTGCTAGGACATGTGGTTCGATTACTTTGGATAACCCTATAATATGAATAGCAACTGAAAGCATCAGGTACTACCAAAATAGAAAAAATTAGTCTCATATTAAATGTAAAAAAAACCATAAGAGCTACAATAACCCCACTCACGATTTTTGGAGGAGAAAACGTAGTCTTCTCAATAATTCAAAAATGACTTACCGTTATTTATTTCATGACACTGTAAAACACCTTCCAATAATGCGCAAAAATTATTTTGGAAATATTTTGTCTGTGGTGTATTAACTTCTACATGTGAAAAAATGGCGGAATAAATACGTCTTAAATCTATTTATATGCCGTCGGTCAATAAAAGCTACTCTACAGAGCCACAGATGTAACATATTTTAAAAACGAAACAGTAACAAGCTATTTGAAACAGCTACGTTTGCCCCCTGGTTACAATTACCCCGGGTGACATAACATGATAATAATATTATTGAGGTTATGAAATAAAAAATTAAAGGCTTATTTTTATCCGAGGACCATTACCGAGCGTAATAAAAATTAAGTGAGTGGGTACTTAAGCAAATTATAAATACTGAGACTTGTGGATCCGTAATAATCCGCCCTAAGTATTCCTTTCCTAGCGAATGTCTGTGCCACAGCAGTAGGTTCTGCTGAATATATTGCCCTATATTTTTATAATAGGGCATTTTCGTCTGTTTTGCAGTGCTTTTATCGTCTGTGAAGTCCCGCTGAGCAATTTTTCGAACGATGTCGGTTTCTTTGGTCATGATTCATGAAGGCCATTCTATCCCATATAGAAATACCGAGTTTTGCTCACTCATTGTCTGCTGTAAGATATTGATTCTTCTTAAGAAACAAAGTGACCGACCACTTTTCGCATCCATATGGCATTTTTGAATTTAACGTGGACGTAGTAGCGGGCGGCCTGTCATACACTAGCGTTATCTTTTCCGATCTATGTATGATCTGTGCTAAGGTAGTTTAGAATTCAGTTTGGTAAGATCAAACTGTTGTCTATCTGATGAAGTTGTTCGCAGTTTCACGCGAGTGACAGCTAATAGTCAACCCATTAAATCTTATCTGTTAATCCATTATGCATGTATTAAGACAAGATATTAAGTTTGCGGGCGGCAACGGCAAGTGAGAGTGGTAGGCAGCAGGTAGGGAGGTACCTATAATGAATGGCGCTTGCTTTACCGCCTGCATAATTTATTTCCCTACCAGGATTCACTTACATTACTGACAGATTGATTACATACATACCTACGCATTCGCATTTAAGTACGCCTCTATAGTACTAACTGATGCTGTATGGCAATAATTATATTTACGGTTAAAAAATTGTGATGGAATTCCTATATTTGCGGCAAAATAAAATATTCGGGGTTCTAATCGAAATGAAAACGCTTCGGTACCCTTTTTAACGCGTCGACAGATGGAGTAATTATTACTCTTAGCCTTAAGTATGTTGTCAAATGCTATTGCCGTTTCGCCTCTACCTTCAATATGAGCCGCCGCTGTCGAGGTTTTCTAGAACGATGTTTATGTAAAACAATCTTTTTACTCTATGCCTAAAGTATTATGTTAAATGCTACCTACCTTTCACATACCTAATTGTACTTATTAGACGTTCTACCGTGTCCTTTGGTAAGAGCCTCTTTCCGCGGTTTACTGTCTTCTCTTTTCACTCACTACAATAAATGCGATGGAGTACAAAGATTTAAATCGTTAGATATCCCCTTACCATAGTTTGACCGCTCTGAAAGCTGACAGCACTCGAATAGGTTTGGTAGCGTATCGTCATGGCTTGTCTGTGTTCAACTGAACATAGTGTCAGTTTGACGTTGGTGAATAAAACACCACAGGCATTTTAGCGAGAAAAGTATATTAAAATGCTGTCGTGTGCCTTCCGAAAGTCCACTAACAATTCGAGAAATACAAATAAAGCTAATGGTGTAACATTTCACACGTAAGTTTTAAATTTCATTATTTATGAAATTTATTTTCTTTCGTTGTCATAAATATTGAAAATCTGATCGGACAGCGCATGACAGAGAAAGAAGTCTTGGAAAATATTGCTAGACAAAAAGAGACAACACTATTCTCTCGATACCGCGCTGTGTGTTTTGACGCTTATCCGCCCATGTAGTTTCATAAAAAAATGTTCATAATTCGATAGAACTAATTACTGTTCTTCATTCTCATTTTAGTGACGATCACTTAGTCCTAAAATTTATTGAACCGGTAATCTTAGGGCATAGCATTAAAAGAACAATGTTAAAATTGGCCTAAGAACCAACACCAATTTGGCATTTATAATAATTCGTAGTATATTTTTTGCGATAAATTATTAGTATTTAGATTGTGACGGACACTTCTAGTTAAGTAAGCTATATTAAAAAGTTAAAAAATAATCTGAGACAATAAGTACCATTTTATGTGTATAATCTATGACAGCGCTGCAAACAAAAAACTCTTTCTTAATAATGCCGGCACTTCACTTATAGCCATACGTGTTTGCTATTTGAAAACTTGACATCAGTTAGTCCTTTTCATTCCTTATTAAGCATGACAAGGACAGACTATTGTTGACAGAAGGGCCGGCATAAAACTCGATACTCTGTGGTTGTGGTGCAGGCAGTTTGCAATTGAAAAATATAAATGTCTACATAAACTGAGTGATCCTATGTGCGGCGATCGTTTTGATTTATTTATTATACATATCGAATTTATCTAAAATACAAATGCTTAGTTATGTGGTGAATAAGTACATTGCAATTATATTATCGCTGACCCGGCAAACTGCGTACCGCCTTTATAACAGTTGATAAAGGGGCTATCTTGAATATCAAGCTTAATTAAATTTAGAACTTTACAAGCGAAATAAAACAAACACAAAAAAGTTCAATAGTTTACTCGGATAAACCTATTATAAAACAAAGCCGTGTTAGTTAGAACACTTATAACTCAAGAATGGCTGGACCGATTTTTATGAAAATTATGTTTTTTTGGAATCCTCTCGGTCCCCGAATAGCATGCTTAATAAGGAATGAAAAGGACAGACTATTGTTGACAGAAGGGCCGGCATAAAACTCGATACTCTGTGGTTGTGGTGCAGGCAGTTTGCGTAGTTCATAGTAATTTGTGGCAATCGTGCATTATGCGCTAGCATCACTATCACTTTAAAATTGTAGTTTGTGTCACAGGAATCATCAAAAAATCACAAATGTCCACAAATGCGCAAAACGGCTCTTTTCAGAGCCCCGCGACTAAAGATATCGGATCTTCAATCCGTATTTGCCAACTTAACATAGAAGGTATAAGTAGAGCCAAATGTGACTATATTGCCAAACTATTAAAGGACCAGCATATTGACATTTTAACTGTCCAAGAGACACATTTAAGAGACGATCAGGATATGACTAACAGAGGCCAGATCCCAGGTTACACTGTCGTCAAAGCCCTTCATCACCCCAAATACGGGATAGCGACGTATGCAAGATCCAATCTGACTGAAGCTAAAGTTGTATGTGCAGACACGACAGAAAATAACTATACAATAGCTATACATGTCGGAGACACCACGATCGTCAACGTATACAAACCTTCGCAGGCCAGATGGAAACCAAGCGTCCTGCCCGCCTTTGATCACCCTTGCATCTACACTGGGGACTTCAACAGCCACCATACCATATGGCGCTTCAATGCAGACGATGCAAACGGTACCGAGCTGGCACAGTGGGCTGAAAACCAAAACTTGTAACTTGGTTTTCAACGCAAAAGATAGAGGAACATTTTATTCCACACGCTGGAGCAAAGAGTATAACCCTGACCTAACTTTTGTCACCAAGGACACAAACGGTCGGCCATTATCTGCCAAACGCGTAGTACTTCGTCAATTCCCGAACAGCCAACACAGACCAATCACTACAGAAGTAGGCCTAAAAATACCTTTCGCGAAATCGATGCCTCTTCCAAGATGGAACTACCAACGCGCCGATTGGAAGTCCTTCACCCGTGACGTTGACGCTGGGGTCAGATGGATTAAGCCGATTGCTCAGAACTACAACCGTTTTGCCAACCTTATCCTGCAAACCGCGA